ACCATATTGAAGCCCTCAATGCCCTATTCAAAACCCACCCAACCACCGGCCATGATCCTGTCGGAATTGGCCGAAAAAAGGAGCCAAAGTGGACTATCTACCCACAGTCTGTTGTCCAAAATCCGGCTGTGCGGATTTCATAAGATCGAGAGTTCATAAGACATCTCTTAGCTTCAAATCCCTGATTTGGTCCCAAAAATCAGATCTCGGGAATTCAAGTGTTTTCCAGAGAGACAAAACAGCTTTTGCGTTTCTTCTTCTAGTTGCTAAAGCTGCATAAAGTGATTAGAGTCCTTTTATAGAAAGACAAAATATTAATTGTTTGGAGGTGGAATGGATATCATGATAATAAACCTGTTTTCTACATATTAATCATTTCAGTACTTCAAATTGAATTTGTTTCTTCCAAATTCGCACAAGACATTTCTTTAGAGAAGCAAATAGAATTTAAGTGAACTGAAATAAAAGCCAAACTTTATTAACCACAAATAAAAAAATATTTGACAACCAACATAAAAAAACACTGTGCAATCACGATAAAATTTTTTAAAAAATAAATTACGATATGACCAAACAATCTATACCTTTCTGTTTTCACCCCCAATATAACAGAAATTAAATAGAGAAAAGTCAATTTTAACCTTTTTTGCTTATTTCTTTTGATTTAGTGGATAATTACCCACAATCCGTTGTAAATTTAACCGTTCTAATTTATTCTTTTGCCACTTTCTGATTGTAAATTAATATAGAAAATTACATTAAGAAAAGCACAAGCATTGTACAAAATTCTTTATCGAACATATTCTTTTACCACGAGTAGCACTAACTTGGCATCTAAGATTCATTTTTTTAAAATAAAAAATATTTTATCAGTAAATAATTATTGTAAACCCATAAAAACTACATATTATTGTCAAATTAAAGGAATATGCATATAATCGACAAACGTATTTGACCAAAACAGCTAAAAGAATTCCTCAAGGCTTCTTGAATTTTACAGATTGTTTCCACTGTAAGTTGCAAGTTCCGAAAGGGTAGATGTGGTCATAAGGTTATATGTGGTAATTATCCAGCCTATAACTTTTTGATAAGTGAATTGTTTGAAGCAGAAGTTCTTGTTGGGAATTGTGGAGACTAGTTTTGTTTGATTTGGTTGAGGCCCCAATCCGAATAATGTTGCATGGTGATTAGGGTTCTTTATGATATAAAGAGAAAAATTGTAAGGCCGCACTTGTATTTTTTTCTCTGATAATAGTGAAATCCCAGCAACTCCGTTGACGTAAACAAATTGGCCAAAGCACTTAAATATTGTCTTGTGCGTGTAATTGTTTTTCTTCGGCGTGTGTTTTCTATAGGTTGTGTCTCACACAGGTTGGGAATTTCGGGTTGATTCCCTACACTTCTTTGTCATCCGGCTAAAGCAAAAGTAACAAGTGGTCGA